TCAATACATAAACATTGTTGAATAATCATCATATAACTAACAGAAGGTTTTTAAGTTGAAGCTCTTGTGGGTAAATTCGAACTTAAAATAATAAACTTTCAGGCATCCTATTTAAATCAAAATAGTTTCTTAATCTTTGTAACAACTTCAGGAATGATCTTTATATAGAAAGGCGTGGTAATTTGCTACTGGAAAGAACAAAAATATTCTTTCACCAAAAATTTTCCAATTTTTTTTGTAACACACTGTAATTCTAAGCAACAAAGTATTGCTGACTTTTTTAATAACAAATATCCAGGTCGCTCAACAATTGCTAAAATATTAAAAGAAATGGCTAAGTATTAATATTAATTTTATTTCTAGAAGTAAATTTCGAAATAAAAATCCTAAATTCCCATTGCTTGGTCAAGCTTTAAATCGTTGGGTAGAACAGGTATCAGCATCAGCCATTGTATTGAATGAACAGCTTATTAAAGAGAAAGGTCAGAGCTTTGCAAATCTTTTAGGAATAGATAAGATGATTTCCATTTTTCAAATGGATGGATCCAAAAGTTTAAGAAAAGAAATCAATTAATATTATTGATAATAATATTAATAATAATAATGTTGATAATATTATTGGTATAATTTAATAAAACATTATACTATTTTAATATTAATTTTATTTCATCATTTGATAAACCTCTATATAGTGACAGCATGTAGTGACATTATAATATTGTTCTTTAATGGAGGTTCCCTCTGTATAAGAACACCTCTTATTAAGAACACATTTTGGCTTTACCGATGGTGTTCTTATATGGAGGTACGACTGTATCAGAAATATTTTCAAGTATATATTCAATAATTGATATGTTAGATTTAAATTATTTATTATTACTAAAAATGGATAAGATAAATTATCTTGAGACCTGAGATTTATTGATCAACTAAAACAGATAAACAAATAAATAAAAGATAATTATTGTTATTTCTAAAAAAACAATTGAAGAAAATTGTTGATTATACTAAAACATTAAAACTGATTTTTTAATCTTAGAATTAATGCACAATGTAATCTTCTGAGATTTTTGCTGAATGTATCATTTGATCTAATAGAAATGTACTAAAAAAAAAATAAACAAATGTTTGAATTTTTTTTTTTTTTTTTAATCAAAAAAGAAATTTTAAAATATATAGATATGATAGATTTTGGACTGAGGTTGATGTATCAAAAAAAATATTAAAATTATTATTATAAATAAAAAACCCATTTAATAACATTAATTCAACTAAACTTTTTTTAAAAAAGCCATCTAAACTGACTATCACTTGTGTGATTGATTCAATCATTAACACTAAGAAACAAACAATTTCAGAATTATTGAAATTAATGCCATTACAAAGGTGAAATAAAATAATAATTTTTTAAATATAATTAATTATATACCTTGGTTAATAAAAAATAAAATAAACAAATATTGCTATTTAATACTTTTCTCATGTGTGAATTCCTCACAATGATTATTCAATACATTTGATATCATCTTTGACATATCAAACAATTGCATCACCCAAGTAGTAATAACACCAAGGCCATGCATAAATGAAACTCTTAAAAATGTGTGTCTACTCATATCTCTGGGTTCACAAGAATAAATAAATAGGGAGGATCAAAAAAAACATTTCCCTTCCTATTGTATAGTTCCTTATGAATAGAATAATAAGTCTGATGTTGTTCACAGGTATCAGATTTAATAAAAATTTCCTATCACAAAAATGTGGTTATGTGCAATTAACACGCCTCATAACTGTGGATTTTTTTTCCACAGGTGAGGTCCCCCACATGTTGGAAGGCTTTGGACAAAACTTTCCACATCTTCCTCTCAGACCAGGCCTGCTGTTTCCATATGGGCATTGATGTCGATTAGAGTTGGCACTTGTGTGATGCTTTGCTTTATATTACCCCTCTTTAGAATAAAGTTGGTGTCTGCAACCGGTTTGAAATTCTGCAACTGAAGAAGTTGCAACCTGGGTTGCTGTTTTGTCAGGACATGCCTACCTAGGGCAAGGAATGATTTGGGCAAAGGCCCAGTCACCTATCCTGTTCAAAAAACAATAAAATTGGTTAACCAAATTAATAAATAACCAAGAAAAAGAAATTTTGAAAAACGATTAATATGTACAGAACATACCAAAATCCAAACTGTTTTGTGGCTTTCTTGTTGATCCTTTTTGAAAGAAGTGCAAAAATTACACTTTGATGCCAGGGATCAGTGTTGGCATTTGGCTGACAACGATATTACCATATAATTTTAATCTATAGGGGAGGGACCATTTAGGCAAAAAGCACATGATGTCCCTCCCAAAATTATAAATTTGTATTAGTATCAGAAATGCGGATAATTTAAGAATATAATTAGAACTAAAACTATTATATGACTTTCCTCTTAACATCAGAGAGCACAAATGCGATTTTCAGAGTCTCCAATCCCATCCTGTATCACAAATTCCTGCCTGAGCTTGAACAAGTTGCTGCAATTTCTCATTGCCTTGATGAATCTAGATGTTGTTGATGTACACCTAAAATCACAACTCGAGTTGCACAACTTTTCAGTTGCATAGCCAACTATCTTCATCTTTACCCCTGAGGTAGGATCATTGCAGTCAACTTCGGCCAGCATGTTAGCAGCCTTCTCTGATCTGGGTGCTGTGAAAAGTGTCATTGACGATTGATGCAATCTCGGTAAATTCCAGGGCCATGCGCCAACCCCCTGGAGTTTAATCATATCATTGTATCATCGGACGTGGCAGGTCAGATTAACCTTTGTACACAAGGAACATGAGAATGACTGTAAAGTGTTCAAGGTAGCGTGCGTGCTTCGACACTTGCTAATTTCTGATAATCAAACGTCATGTATCGAAATGTTTCATATTTGAATTGTTTCTTTTTCAACGTGTGCTGCCTTGACATCTTGTAATTATAATAATATTATTAATATTAATAATGATTATAAAAAGCCAAATACCAATCATTTGTTGCCATCTTGATGAGAATCTTATAATTACCCAGCAAGATCTGCTCCGAGTTTTGATTTCAATAATATACATTATATAAAATAAAAGACACATCAATGCAAAATGCAAATTAAAAAATTGTACCTCTGGTTAGTTATTAACACGTTTCTTTTTAGAACCAATCATGCCAAACATCCTCGCGCTTTGTCTTTAAAAAGTAAATTGTTTTTCCAAAAAAAAAAATCAATTGCGTCGACA